TTACTTAATTCCCTGTGATATAAGCTTCCTCTGCTGCGAATTTAGTGAAATTTTCATTGCTAAGTCAGCGGCCTGAGGAGAAAAGGATGAGGGAAAATTGTCAGGATGGAGAAATGGGTTGTATTATAATTCAGTTTTCTTAACCCCCCGTGGGTAGTTGTGGGTAGCATAAGCGCGGGACCACTAGAAAAATTTGAGTTTTATGCCCAAGTTTTGGAACAAGGTGGGTGGTCTAGTAACCATGGTTATTTAGTTGTGTTTCCATGGTTGCAGAATAGCAAAGCTGGCGCAACGCCTAGAGATGTGCAGAAAGTCGTCCGGGGGTATATGCACCAATCAGCTGCATGCATAATAAATCATTGGGAATGCTGTTAACTGCACCGGTCTGCCAGAGGATAAAGACTAACACCGAGTCAGTGCTGATATACATCGCGTGCAACGCCATAACAAGAGAAAATGCCTTCCGAGATTATCTCTAAAGAGGCCAGAATTTTTTCAGAGGTGCATCAAGGTATGGTATTGTAGGGGGTTTAGCCCTACTTCCTTCCAACGTCCGCACGCCACACACGAGGTCACGTGATGACAACCGGTCGCCCGCTCTCAGTGACCGCAGCTGCACATGTGCATTCCAGTCTAGTCTGACCAATCACCTTCAAAGCTGACTAAGACAAAGACCACTCTCGGTGGCCGCTGGGCTGATTGCCATCAGACTAAGAATTCGGATTATGCGCCGCTCTGGTGCAGACCAACGCCCGTCCGACAGTCGACTTCCTCCCACTTATTCTCCACTCCTTCTATGCAGAATAAACTCTTCCTACCATCATGGCCTCCCATGTCTTCTTTTCTCCTGAGGAATCGGGCCTGAAGATCGCAACTACCAGAGTTTTCCCTGTTAACTGAGTCCTACGCGATAGGGACTCATGGCGCATACAGCTGTCATGCCTGCCAAAAGGCCGAGGCAGCGAAGGAGGAAAAATGTAGATTGATCCAAGGCCGATTAGATCAACGCGCCACTTCTATTTCTGTTAAAAGCACTCGGCAGCCC